GGCGGCGGCGGCGGCGGCGGCGACATACTTACACACACAAAGGGAGGTCTCATAGCATGTGACCCATGCCGTCCGTTTCTCTCGGCAGGTTTTTTCCACGGACGTTAATTTCTTGGTGCTTTTGGCACACGCACGGCGTCACCTCAGGTGGCCGTCTACAGCAGTACGAACAGGTGGTTTCCAGGCCGCCGCCGCCACCGTCGCCGCGGCCGCCGACAAACACAAAAAAAATGTACCTGGTTTGTATATATTTCATGTCACCCATGCGTATCTGATGCCAGTTTTTCAGCGCGGATGTTTGTTTCTTGACGCTACCGCACACATACGGCGTCATCTCACGCGGGAACTACAGGTGAAATAGCGGACGCCGCCGTTGCCACCGCCGCCGCCGTTTGCCGCCACACCGCCGCCGGAGCGGGGGCAAATCGGCGAGAACATACTACAGAGTGCTCCGAGTCGACAGCCAGCGCCTATCCTTGCTACATGTAGGCACCGAGGTGGTGTCCTACACATTTGAACAATAGAGGGATATGTGTAGTGCCAACGCTCCCTAAGCTAAAGCTACTCACCGTCGTTTTCGGAGACCTTCCCGAGCTCTCCTGCGTCGAGACCATGAGGCATACTGAATCCGCACGATTGGGTCAAGAACAGAATAATCCCAGGAGCCGCGAACGTCCTCATGCAGTTTGCAGCATGCGCATGCATGTCAGGCGCCTGCATGTCATCCTTGTCCCTCACAGACTGGTTGGCGTAGTACGCGGCCGGGTTTTGCAGCAGGCGGCGTTGCTGATGCGTCCAGGCCCCGCCTCTCGGTCCCATGGCAACGAATCGATTCCACGACCACACTATCTCCTGTCGTGGCTGATCGGCCCCCCATGACTCAATTGGCTCGCACTCGCTCAGAACAGGGGGCAAGTTGGCCATGCTCGCGGTGTTTCGTTGCGGATGGTACGCACGCACGCCCGCCCGCAGGGAAAGGATGGTCTGCTGGGAGTGCGGTACATAGAATCGCGCCCATTTTTGAATTCTCCGCTCCGTGCATCGTATTCTACCCCCCCAACGCTCCGGATTCCTATTCCCCCATAACTTGGTCGGCACCAGATTACCAAATTGGAATTTCGGCGTTGGAATTTGTTTTCCCAGGGCGGAGGATTCCAAACTTGGAATTCTTCCATAACAATTGGCCTTACAATGTCGTTGCCAAGCGACGAAAACCCTACCCCGATGGCAAACACCGAGCGGGGGGGGGGGAACTCATAGTCGTGCATGCCGTAGTCGTTAGACCATTGACCTCGCATCCCTACAAAGCCGGGACGGAGCACGCCGGGTTCTCACCGGACCAGGCTCTCACATCACCAAGCGCGAAGCGCCGTGAGATATTCGGCGAGTCGCATGAAGGGTGCGCTGCATCCTGCTAGTCTAAGGGTGTTCGGCATCTTGTGCTTACTTCCTTGCATACGAATGACAGCTAGCTGCGTATGACTTTATTTATTTTCTGGTCTTTCACTTCCTGAGACAGTTGTAAGCACTGTGTAACTGCCTCGAGGGTGCTTG